TTTCAGGCCATGGCTAGCTCAACAAATCTCTCCACCTATTGGACATTTTTGGTTTCCGTTTTGCTTCTGTCCATCGTACATTTGACCAATGCCCAGACTCCTCCCACAGGATGTGGAGACATCAACTCAATATATTACTATTTATGTGACCTCTCTGCTGCATGGGGTATAGTTCTACAAGCAATTACCAGTGCCGGCATCGTGTCCACCTTCATCCTCATCATTGTCCTGATAGCCAGCATCCCATTTATCCAGGACAAGAGGAAGAAAAGCATGGTGGGAACTCAGGTGTTCTTCCTTATCGGCACCTTTGGCCTCTTCTGTTTGGTCTTCGACATGGTGGTCCAAAAGTACTTCTCCACTTGTGCGTCAAGGAGGTTCCTCTTTGGCGTGTTCTTTGGCATCTGCTTCTCATGTTTGTGGGCGCACGCAATTAACCTCAACTGCCTGGTGAGAAGAAACACCGGGCCAAACGGATGGGGCATTTTCGGCATAGCCGTTGCCCTTTCTCTCGTAGAAGTCATCATTAACACCGAATGGCTCATTATCACCATTGTACGGACACCAAGCACCGTCCAAATGCCATGTGCCATTGAAAACCAGGACTTTGTCATGGCTCTCATTTACGTCATGTTCCTCATAGTGGCCGGGTTTGTGTCCTGCTGGCCAGCACTGTGCGGGCGATACGGCCACTGGAAAAAGCATTCGGCTTTCATCATCATCACCCTCTTCCTCTCTGCTTGCATTTGGATTGTTTGGATTGTTATGTATGTTTATGGAAACAGGCAGGTGGGAAACCCAACGTACTGGGATGACCCAACGTTGGCCATCGCTCTTGTGTCCAACGCCTGGGCCTTCATCTTCCTCTACATTATTCCTGAGATCTCCCAGCTGACCAAGCCAAGTCTGGAGCAGACTTTTGAAGAGGATATCTACCCAACCAGAGGGGTGGGTTATGAAACAATCCTCAAGGAACAAGGTGCTCAGAGCATGTACGTGGAGAACAAGGCATTTTCTATGGAAGAACCACAATCAGGTAAGCCAACACAGATGAATTTACCCCTTCACAAGATGACTGAGGTGATGGGTAAAAGGTTTCTCTAGTTCCTGTGTCCATGTTGATACCCAATGTCTATCCCTAATGTCCTGTTTTTCCCCTAATGCCCTTGCCACCCTCTAACAGTTACACACATACACACTCTAGGGCCATTTGCTCTTTACGTTTGTTTTTGGGTTTTGGCAGGAGACCTATTCAAATGTGGAGATCTTGTGCTCTAATGGTGTCTCTGTTAAGATCCAAACCCAGCATCCCATCAGACGAACCTTTGATCACAGTTTCATTTAGAGGGGTGTACGAATTTTTAGGACAAGTGCCAGTTGATGAGGGTCACATGACCCTCTGCAAAGAGCAGTTTGTAAGGAACATGTCAGATTTAGTTGTTTGCATGCAGATCCTGAACTCCAAATTCTCTTTAGGTCTATCTGTGACCTCATTGGGAAGCTTTTCCCCTACTTCCTGTCCCTGTGACATCACTACAACTAACAGGTGGGGTTGTCACTGGGACAGGAACACACGGGCAGCAGGTAATACATTATCAGAAGTTCTCAGCCAGTGGTAGTCAGCTTAGGGAATATAGGGGGCCTCAAGGGTGGCCACGCGACATGTCCATCCTCATTGGGAAGATTGTTCCTGTGACACTCCTACCTCATTTCTGCCTGTGCTGCACCTTTATTCAGTTACATCGTTACCACTAGGGATGCACCTATACTGGTTTTTCCATATCAAGTACCGATATATATATTTTTTTGGTACTCGTCGATACCGGAAGTCCCATTAAGGAAGCCGAACGGCATTTAATGACTCGCTGCCCGGCTTCCCAATTAGTCAGGAAGCCATCTCCATGCTCCCTTGTCATGACGAAGCATAGAGCCGGCTTTGTGGCCAATCAGGAAGCTGGGCGGTGTGTAATGACTCACCGCCCGGCTTCCTGATACCGGAAGTTCTGTTATCAGGATAGGCATCGGGAGCATTTGGGCGAGTATGAGCATACCAGTGTATCGGCACCGATACAGATACTAGTATTGGTCCATCCCTAGTTACCAGCTAGAGAGGAGGGGTTCCGTAGCTATCTCTGAGCCTACAGAACGCCTCCTCTCTAGGTTAAAGGAGAACTATGGGGTTAAGGATTTTCCCCATAGTTCTCCTTAGGGTAACGGGAGGACACAAACTAGCGTCCTCCCGTCACCCTAGGCTCAGTATACCGCGAGCTGCAGCTCACTATATACTGAGATGCCGCAGCTGAAGCGGATCCCGACAATTATGTTTGGATCCTCCCAGCTGCGTGACTGACAGCTGGCTCTGCCTATCTAGAGGCAGAGCCAGCTGTACCCGCCCCCTCCCCCGTCTGTTCCGCCAGTCAGCGCTGGCGGATCGGAGCGGGGAGGGGGGAATCCAGCCCCTCCCCCTGTCACGGCAGAGAGCCGTGACAGGATCGAGAGGTGAGCGAACGCCGGTATGTGTTCCCTCACCTCCCGATCTACTGAGACGACCTGTGACAGTCTCATTGTCACAGGTCGGCTAGAACTATGAGGTGAGTGGAAATCACTCACCTCATAGTTCTCCTTTAGAAGAAGACGAAGAAGAGGAGAGGGGTATTCTGTAATCATGTCTAAGGAGAGAAAGTTTCCCTCTTATAGGTACAGTGCAGTAAGTGTTGTCACCCTAGGACAGGAAGTGTGTTACTGGCAGGATCGCTAGATGACAATAAAGGATAAAAAGCCTGAAAAAGAAAACGAATGCAGCCGCCACATCTAAGGACCGGTGAGCTGCAATAGGTGACATTTTTGTTCTTGGGTTTTAGATACACTTTAATAATATGGCCGTAGACATGTGTTTTACTTGTATCTCTCTTGTGAGTCATTGGAGCTGCTGGTTCTGCTGCCAGCATTGACACATTGTAACGCAATCACAGCGGAGACAATGTGGACGCGGCAGCCAGACAATCGCACAATGAACGTTTATACACGAAGCCCGACAAGTTCATAATGATGTCTTTTGTTTGCCAGCAGCCAAGAAGCCGGTGTCGCCCTACAGCGGGTACAACGGGCAGATGAGGAGCAGCGTGTACCAGCCGACAGAGATGGCACTCATGAACAAGAAGACGGTAAGCCGGAGCCCCCGGGGGCCTGCGTGCGCTGCTCTCCGCGCCAATGTTTTTCCTTCTTCCAGAGTTGGCCGCAGCGCCTTGTGGTTGCGCGGTGACTCTGCGATTTGCACATTACACTGTGCCACTATTCACGGCTAACCGAGCACGCGGCCAAAACAGAGACCGCGCTTCTTAAAGGGCCCCTCCGCGCGTCCTAAAAAAAAAAATATGTACGTTCCCGAAATAGAGCGAGATTGACCGCGTTACAGATATGACCCTTCTAATTAAAACCGATATTGTTTGATACATTGTAGCAGCTCATTCTAATCGGTATATATGTGCAGTGAAAGCTTCGTATCATGGGGCGCCGTACCCCGCCCCACCAAGAATGAAGGTTCTGAGGTAATTTGAAAGTCTTTAACCAGCAGGGGGGCAAACACCGGCCCTGCGGCTGTGGTGACACTACAAATCCCATCATCCATCTGCCTCTGGGAGTCATGCCTGTGGCTGTGGGAATCTTGCAATGCATCATGGAATTTGTAGTTCTACAACAGCTGGAGAGCCGGAGTTTGCCCTCCTCTGCTCTAGTCAAAGCTTTTTATTTATGTTGTTGCTATGAAAGAGAAGAAAAGGGTTGGTTAGACCCTAGGGTTGCCACCTTTTCTTTCAACAAAACCCGAACACTAGCGACGCATAGAGATGTTTTGGGGAGAATGAGTTGCGGCTTATTCATATGTAAATATCACAGTCATTGGGGGGCCAGTAGCCCCTATCTTAATTTTGGTTGTCCGGATCTCAGCTGCCATGAAACCCGGACACAGCTTTCAAAACCCGGACTGTCCGGGTGAATCCCGTACAGGTGGCAACCCTATTAGACCCTCTGCCGGGTTATCACCACCCCTGTTCAGAAGATTCATCTATTGTGTTTGTCCTGCTGTCACCAACACAGCCACCCCCAAATGCACCAGCCTGAACATTTCCACTGACCCAAAACAAGTATGTCATTAGAGTCATACTCAGTTTTGAGTGACGCCCAAGCACTGAAGTCAGGGGGTCACCACAGGCAACAGCCAGAAGGGGGGGTCAGGAAACGCCATCTACGTACTTCGGATCTGCTCTGCCACCGAAATTCACGGCTCTGCATCCAGATCTGCAGCTGGCAGCGATGTAAATGATCTTCTTCCTGATGCTAAATATGTTTCTGGAAGTGATATAAAAAGATGAAGAAAAAGGATGTGGTCTGCTGAAGCAACCCGAGTTATGTGACAAACAGTGTTTATGTAGAAGGAAAAACATCTGAAATAACAAAATATATATATATATATATGTTACTGTATACATACTGTACATTGCAGCTTACCAGTACTAGACTGACTTAAAGGAGAACTATGGGGTCAGGGCTTTTCCCCATAGTTCTCCTTAGGGTAACGGGAGAACACAAACTAGCGTCCTCCCGTCACCCTAGGCTCAGTATATAGGGAGCTGTAGCTTGCGGTATACTGAGACGCCGCAGCTGAAGCGGATCCCGACAATTGTGCCGGGATCCGCCCAGCTGCGTGAGTGACAGCTGGCTCTGCCTATCTAGAAGCAGAGCCAGCTGTACCCGCCCCCTCCCCTGTCCGTTCCGCCAGTCAGCGCTGGAGGATCGCAGCGAGGAGGGGGGAATCCAGCCCCTCCCCCTGTCACGGCAGAGAGCAGTGACAGGATCGAGAAAAAAAAAAAGTTCCTTCCTGTAATGGGGCTAATAGCTGAACTCTCGGCACCAAAACTTTAATTCAAATGTACCCCTTAGTCCCCACCTACAAATGATATAAATCCAACTGCAACCAGATTATTTTGCAAGCTCAGATATGACTTTATAAAAGTAGCAGTGACACCATCACTGTGCTGTGCATAGCCTGTGAAGAGAGCAGAGCTGTGGGAGGGGCCCCGCAGGCCCCACCCACTACAGGAAACTACAGCAGGGGGCAGAGACAATATGAGTCACTCTGCACAAGGAGAGAGAGCAGCAGTGAGCGGTCTTTATTACAGGAGGAGGCGGAGACAAGACCAGTCACCCTGCACAAGGAGAGAGCAGCAGTGAGCGGTCTTTATTACAGGAGGGGGCGGAGACAAGACCAGTCACCATGCACAAGGAGAGAGAGCAGCAGTGAGCGGTCTTTATTGCAGGAAGCTCCAAGTCTCGCACTGTCACATTCTATGTTTAGTTTGCGTTTTGGAATAGTTGTTTTGTGATCAATGGATACATCTTTGATACACTTTTGATACATTTTTACCATAATAAACCTTTACCCTCTGTTTTGTTTGTTTTTTTGCTCACAGTCAGAACTTCCCTATGACATCATAATTCCCCGAGCCACTGTCAGCACCAACCCAGCTGCCAGCGGAAACTCCACAATGCGGGCAGAGGACGCCTACAACGCGCAAAACCGACACATCGCAAACAACGGACAGGTATGATCACCGAGCTCCGCCCACAGAGATAGTGATTGGCTGATGGTTTGATATGATTTTTTTTTTTAATTCGATGAGCCACTTTAGTCCCTGTGTACTCCTAAAACCAACAAATATATATATATTTGTATTTCAGTTAGTCCGACCCATGTTTTCAAGTGTATTTCCGCTTTTGCATCAAATTTTTTTTTTATTCACACAGCAAAACTTTATTTGTATTTTTTTTTTTAATTGCTGCTTGCACAATACGTTCTCTTGTCTGAAAGAAACGTTTTTCTCCGAACTGAATTTCCCTCTGGAATGCAAAGGGGAGGGGCTTAATGTTAACATAATGAGCCCCACGTCTGTACTGTGCTGGCAGCTCTCATTATCGATTGTAAGCTAGGTGTGAACACCGTCTGTCCCAACAAAGGGTTAACGATCTAAAAGCATTGTATGTTAATGAGAGGAAGCTCAGAGTGTCCCCGGTCTTCATATCCATTGGGGACGGCCAGAGTTTCCTGTTTCATGGCAATTGGGAGAAAAGCTCTGAAGGCTCCGGCTACACTGAGACAACTAAACGTTACAAAATACTTTGTGTTCATTATTTTTAGAAATGCTGAGTGAAGGGAACACATATAACAAGCGTACCATGGGGGCTTTCTCAAATATGACTGCAAAAGTGGAAATAGACTTTAAAACAACCCGCGTGCCTGGAGATAAAAAGTGCCGGCTGAGGTGGAATTCCTCCCATTTATAAACCTGAAAGGACATTTGTGGTAAAAAGAATGAAGAAGTTATAAACAAATGAGGGGGGGAGGCGGGGTTATATGAAATGTAACAAATAGAACCAACAAAACAAACAAAAAGGAAACAAATGTATTCAATATTTTAAAGAGGGAGAGAGAATGTATGTATATTTTATCTCTCTTCTCTCTCTGTCTCTCTATTCTCTCTCTTCTTCTCTCCTCTCTCTCTCTCCCCCCTCCGCCATCTCTTGCATTCTTCTCTCTCCCTTCTCTTTCTCTCTTTTTCATTCTCTCTCTCTCTCTCTCTCTCATTCTCTCTCTCCCTCTTCTTTATTCCTTGAATCTCTCTCTCTCTCTCCCCCTTCTCTCTCCTCTTCTCTCTCTCTCTCTCTCTCTCTCTCTCTCTCTCTCTCTTTCTCTTCACAAATCAGAAGCTGAAGGGTGAAGGGGAAGAAGGAGTTCATTAGGGGGCTGATTGGGGTTAATAAGGGGTACATTGGGAATGGTGTTTATTTTATAATACACTCTCGACGGGCACATTAGATATTCCAAAGTTACTTAGATGACGTTTTTTGGGTCCGTCCTGCGGCCGCGTTATTATATCTGCGTTGGTTGACCGCAAAGTTGCCTTTAAATGACGTTTACATGTGTTTTTTTTTTCTTTTTCAGACAAGCTCCCCGTACGGTCAGTGGTGAGAAGCCGATCTTACGACGATTCACCCTCCTGAGGAAGCAGCTGCGTCAGGGCGCCTAATCGGACTTGCGGTTGACATGCGTTCATGCCAAAGTAGACAACCTTTTCCGGGGATGGGGGGGACTGATCTGTACTAGGCCGAACTCTTCAAAACACAGACGTTGTCACCCCCTATAAATCGCCAGCAGCCATTCAAACAACTTCAGAAGACAATGGGGGGGGGGGGGACCAGCTGTCACCATAAGGTCAAGTTTGGTCATGTACAGGTTAATATGGCGTTACATAACGCGGCCGTTTGCGGCTGAGGCTTCGTTTGCACAATCTTTCCTCCCGAACGGCGTCGTTTGACTCTCCGACACTGAAGGCAGCCATTTTGAATTGTCATACCGCCCAGAAGGCCGGATCTGTCAAAGGGTATAAGGGTAAGACAGTGCTTGTCGCCATAGCAACCAGTGGGAGTCTCTTGTCCTTCTCTTGGTTGGGATGTAGAGTAATCTGGTTGCTACGGGCAACAAGAATGAGACCACCTTCAGCCCCAATTCAAAGGTGATTTTGAAACATCCCCTGATGTTGTTTATCCATATTTGTGCAAAACCCCGCCCACTTTTCATCAATTCTTCAAAAAAAAAAAATGGGTCCTTCTGACCGAAATTGGAAACATTTGCAGCTCTCTGATGTCATAAGTCAGTAGGCCAAATGTTCATGGCCTGTGGGCACAAAATGGCTGCCTTCGGTGTATACACTAGACAGGTCCACTTTCAGGGTAATGGCAAAATATGAGGGGAATTCATCAACATTGGCGCAGACCGAAATCGAGAGCAGTTGCTCATGGCAACCAATACTATTCTCTCTTTCATTTTCAAACATGAACAAACCTAAGAAAGAAGCTGATTGGTTGCCAGGGGCAACTGCTCCAGATACTGTCTGCTCCAGTTTTGATAAATTCCCCTCAATGTTTATGTCTGGTCATAGAGCAATAAGAAGAAGATTAGCTGCTGCCTTCGTGCTATCGTATATCCCTGTGCCTTTAAGGACTATGTATTCAAGAAAGCAATGTGCAAAGTGCAACCCCCTAGCAACCAATCACAATGTAGCATCATAAACCCTAGTAACCGATTCACGATTTAGTTTGATAACTCCTTAGCAACCATTAACAAGTTAGTGTCATACCCCCTATGCATCGTTTTGTACGGCAGTGTGATTGAGGCCTAATAACCAATCACAATTCAGCATTGTAACCTCTAGCAACCAATCAAAAAGTAGCATCATCATCCCTAGCAACCAATCACAATTCAGCATCATAAACCCTAGCAACCAGTCACAAAGTAGCATCATAATCCCTAGCAACCAGTCACAATTTAGCGACATAACCCCTAGCAACCATTCACAAAGTAGCATCATAATCCCTAGCAACCAGTCACAATTTAGCGACATAACCCCTAGCAACCATTCACAAAGTAGCATCATAATCCCTAGCAACCAGTCACAATTTAGCGACATAACCCCTAGCAACCATTCACAAAGTAGCATCATAATCCCTAGCAACCAGTCACAATTTAGCGACATAACCCCTAGCAAGCATTCACAATTTCACTGCTCAAGTTTTCCACGAGGTGAGCTCCGATGGTACGGGTTGCGGGTTTGCAATTGGCGCTGCTTTCTTGAGGCCTAACAGTCCTTCATTTCACCCTCGGGGGCAGCGCCCGCCATCTTTTAAAAAGCGAATCAATATCTGTGTGTTGTCTATATTATTTACCCGACTTCCTGTATAAAATATATGTTATCGTGTACAGAGTGTTATTTTTACACTATTTTGCGTGTGAATGTGCGATTGCTCTGCGGCGTGAATGATCTGGTTCTGCGGGGGAAGGCGGTTTTCTGCGTTTCTCTCTGCCCCTCCCTCATTGGGAGCCAATCCCAGAAGAGTATGTGTGCGCTATTTAAATCGTCCGGGAACGCTTGTGTGGTCCGGGATCTCCGGGCGCGTTTCCCGTGTCTCTACGTTTTGTATATTTTTGTTTCTGGTAATTATAAATAAAACATTTTATTTAAAGGAAACTCGTCATCCTTGTGTGTTGTTTTTTTTCCACGGACGGTCGGCATCGAAAAGCGAATCGTTGATGGATGGAGTGCGTGCGTGGACGCCAGGGAACGCTGACAGGACAGCAAAGTGTGCGCAACAGGGACTTTCCGTGTGACATTGTGAGCTGAAAATGTTCCATTTCACAGAGAATTCTTCACTGGAAACATTTGTTGAGCTTATCGAAGTTCCAAACGTCCTTAAAGGGACAGTCCCCCCACTCGCCTTACTCATCATCCTCAGGATTGAAATATGAAACATTGTATCTATATAATAATATTCCGTATTCTCGCACATTCACCTTTACTTGTGTTTATAGAGGTCAGTAGCTGAATGAGACAAACATGCTGTACACAGCTTCCTGAAAACAGGACGGGGCCCGGCCTCAGTACTCCTCCCAAGAGCCCTCAGCCCTGATGCAAGCAGTGGGAGGAGTTATGCAAATATTAAAATGCCTTTATGGATGGATGTCAGTCTGGAGGAGCGGGCGTTCTTACGCATTTGCATGCAGACAGTCCTAGGTAACGCTCCCACACGTGATGCTGAGCCATGAGTGAAAGAGCTGAGATCCAATGAATGAAAGGGGCGGGGCCAGGGTCAGTCTGGTTGGAGAGGGAATCGCTAGATGATGCGTGGAGTCTGAAGGGAAGGCCGGAGGTCAGATAGACGACTTAAGGGAAGGACGGAGGTCAGATAGAAGACTGAAGGGGAGGACGGAGGTCAGATAGAAGACTGAAGGGGAGGACGGAGGTCAGATGGAAGACTGAAGGGGAGGACAGAGGTCAGATAGAAGACTGAAGGGGAGGACAGAGGTCAGATAGAAGACTGAAGGGGAGGACGGAGGTCAGATAGAAGACTGAAGGGAAGGACGGAGGTCAGATACAAGACTGAAGGGGAAGACGGAGGTCAGATAGAAGACTGAAGGGGAGGACGGAGGTCAGATAGAAGACTGAAGGGGAAGACGGAGGTCAGATAGAAGACTGAAGGGAAGGACGGAGGTCAGATAGAAGACTGAAGGGGAAGACGGAGGTCAGATAGAAGACTGAAGGGGAGGGCGGAGGTCAGATAGAAGACTGAAGGGGAGGACGGAGGTCAGATAGAAGACTGAAGGGGAGGACGGAGGTCAGATAGAAGAGTGAAGGGGAGGACGGAGGTCAGATGGAAGACTGAAGGGGAGGACAGAGGTCAGATAGAAGACTGAAGGGAAGGGCGGAGGTCAGATAGAAGACCGAAGGGGAGGACGGAGGTCAGATAGAAGACTGAAGGGAAGGACGGAGGTCAGATAGAAGACTAAAGGGGAGGACGGAGGTCAGATAGAAGACTGAAGGGAAGGACAGAGGTCAGATAGAAGACTGAAGGGAAGGGCGGAGGTCAGATAGAAGACTGAAGGGAAGGCTTTAAAGAGACCCTGTCACCTGTAAAGAAGAAGCAACATACTTAGCTTTCCTGATCCTACAGCCAGGCGGGGGACCAGTGAGAGGTGTGGAGGACCCAGGAGGACTGGGGGACTATTCCGGCATTGCACACCTGCGGAAGAATGAAGAAACAGATTCTATCAGAGTTTCCATTCTTGTGTTACATAATGGCCGTTATTGTCACTGCGTCCCAAACATCCACCTAATTCCCTCATACCTATCCTTCATAGCCAATTCATGGAGGGGTCAGTCCACCCCAAATGTGGTCACTTAGATCTATGAGCTCAGCACAGGGATGGTGGGGGCCCCTCATAATGGGCACAGCGGGTGCACAGACCCAGGGAACTCAGCACAGGGATGGTGGGGGCCCCTCATAATGGGCACAGCGGGTGTACAGACCAGGGAACTCAGCACAGGGATGGTGGGGGCTCCTCATAATGGGCACAGCGGGTGTACAGACCCGGGAACTCAGCACAGGGATGGTGGGGGCCCCTCATAATGGGCACAGCGGGTGTACAGACCCGGGAACTCAGCACAGGGATGGTGGGGGCCCCTCATAATGGGCACAGCGGGTGTACAGACCCGGGAACTCAGCACAGGGATGGTGGGAAGTAAGGAGACCTGTCTGTGAAGCCCCATGACGCTGTGTAAGTGGAGGGATTGATATGTTTGTTATTTGGAGGTGATTCGTCTTCCATTCTCTGAGCTGTTCCGCTGACTCACGGGGAAAGGTTTATTGTCCATATTACAATCAGAGTGTTGAGGAGGATCGGGGACACATCACTTCATTACGCGCTGGATCCTTCCTGTGATAGAAAGGTGAGATTTCTCCAGCTGCTCGGGGACTTCGGCTTCTATAATGAAGGATCACAAGGAGGATTTCTGGGGACTTTGTTTTTGACTGATTGGCAATTAACGGGAAGAAAAGCTGCAGATTGATTCGTCGTGTTCACTCGATGGGACTTTTTTTTATCAATTAAAGTTTTGTTGATGGAAAATAACAATATAAAGATACAGCGCGTGTGCAATGTATAAAACAGCTTCATGATGAGAATACAAAGGAAAGTCCAGAGTGTGAGATCATTTGGTGTTGCAGTGCTTGTATCAAGTATGAGTATGTGCACCGGGGGTAGGTTATAGAAGAAGGGGTAGCGGGGGGATGAGGCAGTGTGGATTCTATGTAGATTTGCACATACACTATATTCCCAAAAGTATTGGGACGCCTTTACACGCACATGACCTTTAATGACATCCCAGTCTTAGTCCACTGGCAATATACTGTAGTGTATATGCAACAAAAACCTGTTTTTAAGGAAAATTGCTGAAACAATGTATTTTTTTGTTTTGCTGGCTATCTGGTAAACGTGGACATTCTGTGAAATGTGCACCTTCCTTTAAAGCAGAACTCCGGGGAAACATTTTCTTACTCCCTGCAGCGGGGCTACACCTGAACTGCAAGGGTTAACTACTTGTTGGTTTCTAGGTTCAAAAATAACTTATACTCGCCTGATCCTCGGAGCCGGCTT